GGAAGGGGTGCCTATGGGGGGTCTGGGGTGGCGTCCCCCCTCTACCCCATCCCAGACCCCTCACAGCCCCCCCTTCCATAGTCCACGAGGAGTAACGGTAGTTTGGAATAGGAAGCCTAGTCCGAACTACCTAGTTCGTGCCGCGTGTAGCCGCGTGGCACGGAGTCCGAACTAGCGGACATTTAAAAATGGCGCCGCCCGGCAACTTGCAAATGAAGCCCGGGAAATTCAAATCCCGGGCTTACCCCATCCCAGACCCCTCACAGCCCCCCCTTCCATAGTCCACGAGGAGTAACGGTAGTTTGGAATAGGAAGCCTAGTCCGAACTACCTAGTTCGTGCCGCGTGTAGCCGCGTGGCACGGAGTCCGAACTAGCGGACATTTAAAAATGGCGCCGCCCGGCAACTTGCAAATGAAGCCCGGGAAATTCAAATCCCGGGCTTCATTTGCAACTCTGGTTGACTACATTACCACCCTGGTTCGAACTAGGGTGGTAGTGTAGACATACCCTTAGTCTGTAACAGGAAACACTTAAAAAATAACAAATAGTCTAGCTGCACTTTAAAGACTAACAATGCATGTAGAATCTAGATGGTATGAGCTTTTGTAGGTACAACTCACTTCTTCAGATGACATATACATTATGATATATCCCTACCCTTTTCTCTTCAGCTTCTCTCTGCCCTTAGTTTTTGATTTATTAGTTGATTTTATACAAATATCGGGCATTCACTCCTCTAAGATTTAATGCACTCTGAGACATGCCATTTTCTATTCCCAGAGGATTCATCCAATAATATTAATCAATAGCAATAGCATTTCAGCTTAGTTACTACCTATCTGTGACACTAGAGAGTAAGGGTACATCTACGCAGCACACTAAACTCGAAATAAGATACACAATTTGCGCTATGCAAATTGCGTATCTTATTTCAAAACTATTTCAAAATAGCTTATTTTGAAATTTGGCATATCTACATAGCGCCAGATTTCAAAATAACACGCTATTTTGAGCCATCTCTTATCCCTCGTGCAATGAAGTTTACCAGAATGGCGAAATAGCATACCTGGTATTTTGAAAAATATTTTGAAATACCAGGGGGCTTGCGTAGACACAAAGTAGTTATTTTGGGAGACCTCCGGTATCTCAAAATAGCCCTGCAGTATAGATGTACCCTTAGTTTCATGACAAGCTCAAGGAGGCACCTGTACCAATCTTTTTTTTTTTTTTTAATATATCTGCCATATGCGTTACTCCTGTATAATGTTTTCCAAAGTCCCTGACAGTTCTCAAAAATGCAGCCAATGACCATGAAACAACATTGTGATAGTTTGGCTAAGTTAGGTATTGCAAATTTGAAAGAATGTATGACACTGCGTTTTTCTCTATTTGAACAACCAGACTCCGTGGTTAGAAAGATTGCTTCCATGGCATACAAATAGCATCTGCAATGTTTTTCAGATCACTGTAACCCCAACCTGTAAAATGCAGAGCACAGCTCTTATTTACTTCAATAAGAGTTGAGCAAACTGAATACATCATGGAATTGGCCCCCTCGTGATTCAGTTATTAATCCCTGGAGTGTTGCAGCTCTTAGACTAAAGGCGTATTTACATCTAGCTTGTTTTACTAAAATAGCTATGGGGTTGTGCATAGAACAGCTGACAGAAACAAAATAAATAGATGTTGGTTTTGCAGGCATTTTGCCTCCTATTTATCATGTCTCTTGTTTAATTGTTTTCATTTTTCATAATTAAATACAGAAATACAATATTAAACCAATGTAAGCAGCATTAACCAAACAAAACGTAAGAAAGAATTTATTTTAATATACGTTACAATCATTAAAATATTTTAATAGAATCACAAAAGATAAAATAATAAAGAACGATAGCACTGGAAGATAATACTACATATAAATGCAAAATTCTTTTTAAAAAAAGAATAAAAAATAAGGAGAAAATCAGTTTTAGTCAAAGGACTTGCATACAGCACTAGTTACAGGGCATGTGTAGATAGACTTGAAGCACACTTTTGCTCTTCATTAATCCTGTGAAAGCTGCTGTGAGGCTCTGCATCCCTATGCAAATTTAGAACAGTCCAATGACTTTGGGGGAAGAGGGAGTTTTGAGCTTTGATGTTCCTGTCTCTCTGACAGTTCCATTTTAAGAGATCTGAGCTAGCTTGTTTCTTTAGAGTATCCAGACCCTTCATGGTTCCTCTAACTCATTCATATGGGGAGAACACAACTTCATCAGGGGCAATTATTGCCGTTCTTATATTACACCCATTGCAGTGGTATCACTCACTATCTTTTATAGTAATTAGGGATGTCAGTGTGTACCCGTGTACATGGTTAACTGATGAGCCTGGGCTCATCGGTTAACCTTCACAGTAACATGCAGCCTCCCTGACCCACCGACTGCCTCTATATAGAGGCAACAGCATGGGATGGGGGAGGGAGATGGGGGTCAGTGCGCATGGGGAAGGGTACCAGCTTTTGTGGAGCCACCTGTAACCCACAGAGGCAGCAGCTGGGGGAGAGCAGGTGGAAGCCAGCTTGACTGCCCGCCCCCGCGCTACTGTCTCTGTATCAGAGGCAGCAGCGCATGCCGACTCCTGTGGAGCCGCTTGCCCTCCCCCGATGCTGCTGCCTCTTATGAGCATTGATTGCCGCCTATCCCACCATCCTCTGCATGTAACTGCTGAAAATTTCAGCAGTTACACATTTACAAATATAAATGCATTTTAACATCCCTAATGATAATGCAGTGGGGGAGAACCATGGAGTCTACCCCAGAGAGTGGGCATTGGTGGCAAATTGATCTCTGGCTGCTGCTAAGGAAGATACTTGGGATCTGATTAGTGTTACATGGATGGGAACTCCAGAGAGGACTCAGGGTTGGAGCCTGGATTTGGCCTGAGATGCGTTGATTTATAACAGAGTTTGTCTCAGTATGTTCTACAAAGCATTTGCCCACGTGATTTAAGCACAAGCATGCAACTCATTGTCATTTCTGACAAGTGTTATATATTGTGTCTAGAAGAATGGCTATTAAAGCCTCATGGCTCTGCCTCCTCTGATGTATGATGTAAAACTGATATAGAGAGTTTCCACATGAGGTGAGTTGCTTAATTATGCTACTTGAAGATCCTACTGCTGGAAAATTCACACTATTGTCATTGTTTATCATGTAAAATTCCACAGCTCTTCCTCCACCCAACTTATAGGGTGAAGGATTTTTTCTCTCTCCTTCTATCTTGGTGTTATAATTATTTCACCTGTTACATGGCATCCTCTTTACACTCTGAACCACCTTCCCAGATAGCTATAGGGAGGAAGAGAATACAAGACCCCTGATAAGCTCCTTGAGGTAAGGACTGTCTTACTGTTCTGTGTGTAACACTTACCACAATGGAATCATAGTCCATGACTAGGATTCCTACATACAATGAATACAAATACATAATAACAGCATTTTCAACAGCAGCAAGCTTGGATCCTGTGCCTTTAAGCATGATTCCAAGAGTCAGCTCAGCATAATCCCTTTTGTACTCTAATGCTGGTTTTTTATTATTATTATGCAGAGACTGGTGGGCAACCTGTGACCCACGGGAAAGGGAAAAGGAAGAAAGAAACAGAAAGAAGAAGGAAGACCTGGAAGAAGAACAACTCACCTCCAAGACACAGCCTAAGATGAGGACTGCCAGGACTCTGCACAACTATGATGTGCAGTGCAACAACCAGGATCCAGATGAGCTTGACCTTGCATGGCCAACAGGAGAAGTTTTCCTGTTTTTATCAGGATTGCGGGCAACCTGCAGCCCACAGACCCTCTGCTGCCTCTCTCCCCTGTTACCTGCACAGACTTCTCTGTCACTCCCACATGTTAGGGACACACAACTTTACCCAATTCCTAGGGCTCAAGGTGTAACCCTGTTAATTTAAATGCTCACACTTATCCAATTCTTAGGGCGTAACTTCCCACGAGTTTGCAGGATCTTTTACGACTGAAAGAGCCTTACACAGTAATATCCTCACTTGTTATTTTTTGAAAATTGCCAAGCAAGCAGAATACACATGCTAAGCATACAGTGCCAGGCTCACCAATCCTGATAAAGTCAGACAAACTTTCCCTGTTGGCCAGGCAAGGTCAGTCTTCTGTAGATCCTGGTTGTTGCACGGCCTGTCATGGTGGTGCAGAGGAATCCTAGCAGCTCTGGTCTTGGGCTGTGTCTTGGAGGTGACTTGTTCTTCTTCCAGGTCTTTCCTTTTTCTTTTCTTCCTTTTCCCTTTCCTGCTGGTCTTCTTGAACTCCAGTTTATACAGTGAAACTTGAATCCTGCTTAACTATTTGTAAACAATTATTTTACTGAAATTTTATTAATTGTAACATACTGTAACAGAATTAGCTAGCCAATCATACTCTGCCACTTCAATTGATTTAAACCTAGCACAATTAATTATACAGCAGACAGAAATAATTAAAAACCAGACAGAGATCATACAGAGAAACAGTATGAGAGTGAGGACCATAATAATAGAATGAGGATTCCACAACCTCGACTACTGTGTGCCAGATGAAATGCCAGATGAAATGCTGTTTCTTTACCCATCTTGAGATCTGATTCTTTATCTGGTGATAGTGGGTGCCCTTAAGATGGAATCTCCTTAAGAGCCTGGTATGACACTAATGCAATTTAGGTGAGTATGTGACTCCAAACTTTACAGATAATGGCTGCTGCTTTTCAATCGGGCTGCAGAGGAAGACGTTAGACCTTCCAATATTCTACAGGCCTTCAAGAATGGCTACTGAAAAACCATATTGTTTCATATACCCCCATGCACCTCTCACACACCAGAGCACTGGAGCCCTGCACTTCCTTCCCCTTCCTCCCACCTTCCCAGAGGTGGAACACTGCAAATCACTCCAAAAATGCTGGGAGAGTGGAAGGAACAGGTAAGTGTGCATCTCCAGTGCCACGGTGTGTGCGGGAGGAGAGCTAAACAGGTGGGTCATGGGACCACAAGTGGAACCTAGGTGGACCACAGGCTGCTGGGGCCCACTGCGGTGAAGGAAAGCCATTTATGCTGCCCACTCACCATTCCTGGTTGCCATCAGACTGTAACCAAGAGTGAGCTAGCTCTCCAGCCCCATCTAGTGTTCACATTACATAATTTAGCTTTCCCTATCCTTCAAGGCAACTTTTCTTAAAAATACCCAGTTTATTGTTCCCTTTTTCTCTAGGCCTGGTTCCCCACATGGCCACACTAGTTTATACCAATGTAAATTCGTGATTACACTCACAACGGCGTAAAACTGGTGTACAGAATGCAGAGTCAAGCATAAGTATAGCCTCCATTTTTTTAACTGTTACCTATTTTCCCTTTTGTTTAATTTATGCTTATTTCCTTTCATATTTGGGCCAGTTCTATTCTTATGTGGGGGGGGTGGGGCTTTCCCAACTCCTACGTTTTTATATGGGTAGAGGTTGGTTTTCCCCTCTCTCTTAATATGTAGTACCAGTTTTTCCCTACTTCCTTTAGCTCTTCATTGTTTTTGAAAGGGAAGAGGGATCACTGCCAGCTCTATACAGCAGAGGAGCGCGTCGGAGCGTGCGTGATTGCTCTCTGAAACACCCCCTTTGTGCTGCTACCGGCGCCGCTTTTACACCAGCTGCGCTCTACTGACCCCACCACGGGGGAACGCCGGAGTGACTCCAGTGCCGGGGAGACTCGGGCGCGTACCGCGTGGCTGCGCAGCCATGCGGTTTCGGGCCAAGATCGTGGACGTCGCCTGCCTGAACCACTTCACCCGTGAGCGGGCCGGGCTGGGTGTCTGGGCCAGCGGGAGCTCCGGGCAGGGAGCCTGTTTGTGGCGGGGCTGGGAGAATGGGGGATTCAAAACCCGCATCCCCCACTGCGTGTTTAAGTCTCGGTGAAATGTGCAGTTGGGTCCCCTGGCATGCGGTTTCGGGCCAAGATCGTGGACGTCGCCTGCCTGAACCACTTCACCCGTGAGCGGGCCGGGCTGGGTGTCTGGGCCAGCGGGAGCTCCGGGCAGGGAGCCTGTTTGTGGCGGGGCTGGGAGAATGGGGGATTCAAAACCCGCATCCCCCACTGCGTGTTTAAGTCTCGGTGAAATGTGCAGTTGGGTCCCCTGGCTTCTTCCTGTACCGCAGGGAGCGATGCATCCTCGCGGGGAGGGTAAATCGGGGCTGCTTTGCAAGCACAAGACCCTTGATGAGCCTCGACTTGCTGGCTGCTGCTGTCCTTGGCCATAGAATGCTGGGAGAGAAGTTTCCAAGCCTGCTGACAGACCAGTGTCACATTTGGCCCTTGCACAGCACATCGTTTCCCAAAAGCCATTGTTTAGTTTAACAAATGGGAAGACCGAGGCACAGAAATGTGTGCAACTGCTTGCCGAAGTTCTCAGAACACCTCACTGGCAGATCTGGGACTATCTGTCCATCTGGGATATTTTCAGGGCATGTTGCACTGTAACCAATAGGCTCAATTATACATAAATAAAATGCACATTTTAAAATTGTGAAAATGGCCTCTGCTCTTTGCAGATCCGAAATCATCTTAGTTCTTCCCCAGGCTTGATATATTTTATTATAGAGAGTATCTCTAGAAAGTATGATAAGGTCAGTTTTTAAACCTGTTTGAGAAGACAGTCCCTTTCCTTGTGTAGATCAGACCAGATAACGAGATGCCACAGACTGAATAACATCCAGATCAAACGCCATAGTTTTTCTGTTAAGCAAAAGTGTTTTCCAGTAAATCCATGTATTTACTTTTTTCTTTATGATGGTGTTCACAGAGATTTATAGCTTGCAATGTGAAAAAAAATCAGTCAAGTTTTAATACGCCTTTTAATTTCACATTAGCAGTTTCTAAGTTGTAAAACAAACCTGTACACCCAGTGTGATGCTCCAAAACTGAATTATGTCAGTGAGGAATTCTGGGGATTTCTGAGTGTGGGGAGGGAAGAAGGGATTGCTATATTCCAAGGTGTTTGCTCACTTCTGGAGGTAGGCTATCATACAGTAGACAGACCATGAGTCTACAGCATGTTCCTATGTTCCAATGATTTTCTTTGTAATCTTCCATTTTTGTTTGTGTGTTTGTTTACTGTTTGTAATGGTAGCACCTATGAACCCAAAACAAATGGGCATCTTGCAAAGCAGTATAGAGACAAAAATAAAGAAGATAGCTCCTACCACAGATTTCTTAGGGAGCTGCTACACAGCACTTATTTCAAAATAGACCACTCTTCCTCTGACTTCCCTTACTCCTCTTATAGGAGGGTTACAGGAATCAGAGTAAGAAGTCCTCCAGATTGACAATATTTTGACACTATTTTGAAATAACTGTCTGCTGTGTAGATACAGACTACGTTATTTCGGAATAGTGTTGCAGTGTAGACATACCCTCATAGTTTAGATGTTGGGATAGGAGATAGGTGACAAAATAAAATTATGTGCAGTGTAGTTGTAGCTTTTTAGTCCCAGTATATTAGCAAGACAAGTCAGGTAAGGTAATATTTTTATGGGACCATCTTCTGTTGATGAGAGAGACACACTGTTGAACCACAGAGCCAGGGCTGGATTACCCAATAGGCAGACTAAGCACATGCTTAGGGCACCAGCAAAGTAGGGGAACCAAAAAAACCCTGAGATTTTACAGTATAGTATTGTTTTTATTTTGAATTACATATGGGGGGTGGTACCATAATCTTTTCAGTGCTTGGGGCCTCTAAAGGTCTTAATCTGGCCCTGCACAGAGCTCTTATGTGTCTCAAAAGCTTGTCTCTTTCATCAAAAGAAGTTGATAAGAAATATTACCTCATCTCCCTTTACTCTCAAAACAAAATAAAGTGTGGAGGGAACGGGTGTGGGGGGGAAAAGAACCAAAAGATAATTTAGCAAAATATAGAAGTTTTGGGCTGCCACTTTCCATAGATTTATTTTAATAATGTTCTTTCCTACTGAACTGCAAACCATAACTTGCAAGCAACCCTTTTTTGGCCTATGCTAGAAGTGTTAGGAATTAATTTAATGAAACGTTATCCCATAGGTGTGATTAACACAATTGCCAAATTAGCCAAGACATGCACTCTACGCCTTGCAGTGGACAAACTTTACTTCATCCTTTCTGATAAAGTGGCAAATGGAGGGGTCAGCATGTGGTGTGAGTTAAATCAGGTATGTGCCAAAGAAATAGGCTGTTATTGCATAATTAATAGTATATGAAACATCTCTCAATGTCTTTAATATTAAGGTGGCTGTTCTAAAACTCTATGCGGGACTACAATGGTGTATAGACTTTTGTAATAATGTATTTCATAAGCAATCAAAAAAGCAGAACGTGCAGAACCATTAGCAAAGGGAAGGATAACAAGACCAAAATATCATGGGCCAGTGGGTCTGGCCCATGAAAGCTCATCACCTAATAAACCATCCTGTTAGTCTTTAAAGTGCTGCATAGTCCTGTCATTTGTTATGGTAGGGTCTGTATCTTGATTACTGCATGTAGTTCTGATTGCCCCAGAATTGGAAAAAGTGCAGAGAAAGGCAACAGAGATGATGAGGAATATGGAACAGCTTCTGGATGAGGGGAGCTTAAATAGATTGGGACTGTTACATTTTAGAAAAGAGACAACTAAGGGTGGAGGAGGAGGGAGAACGTTGTGGGTAAAGTGATTAGGGAAGTGTTATTGACCCTTTCACATAACACAAAAACCAAGGGTCACCCAAGGGCATGAATAGGCAGCAGTTTTAAAACAAACATAAGGAAGTACTTTTCACACAACTCACAGGAAACCTGTGAAACGTTGCCATGGGATGCTGTAAAGGCCCTAACTGGGTTCAAAAATGAATTTGATGAATTCATGGAGATTAAATCTGCCAGTTACTATTAGGTAAGATAATTAGGGACACAGCACCATGCTTTGTCCCTAAACTTCGCTCTGCCAAATTCTGGGCCTGAATGGATCACTAAGTAAATTGCCCTTTTCTGTTTATTTCCACTGAATAACTCGGACACTATAACCAGGATACTGAGCTAGAAGGATCATTGATTTGACCCCCTGTGGCCCTCTTGTTCTTTATGTGTCCTCTTCTGTTTCTAGGGAGACTTTTACATATATTTTGGTTCAGATTTTGTGTGCAGTGGCACTAGGGGTGATGATATTTTAACCACTTTGTTTATTAATGATAGGTGGCATGTTAGGGACAGAAGTTAAGAGGTTAAGCCCTAATTTTGCCATGAGGTCCATGCAGTTGTCCCTTTAAGCCTGCAGAACCTGCTTTGTAACATACAGAGCAGAGGGAAGTTTTAATTTGTAGACATTTAGTTCTGAATATATGATACAATACTTTAATTCGTCATATGGTGATTTACCATATTTTAATTTTAAACAGTTTTTCTGGTTCCCTCCATGTTTTTTTTAAAGGGGAACTTCTTTGATGAGTTCCAGATGGAGGGAGTAGCAGCAGAATACAATGAAATTTACTTGGAGCTGACACCTGAAAACCTATCGAGAGCTTTAAAAACAGCCCAGAACGCCAAGACAGTGAAAATCAAATTGACTAACAAACACTGCCCCTGTCTTACATTAGCCGTGGAACTGGTAAGACCAGAAATGCTTTTCAAGTGGCCTTGGGGATTATGTAGTAAACAATGTGATGTTCCCTAAATCTAATAGCTGATTTTAAATGTCTATATGATCCTTTCCTGAAATAGGTTATTTTTCCAACAGCATTTCAGACTATTTTAACTGTATTGGCTGAACCGTGTTTTCTTTTATGTTTGGAAACTGCCTAGCATAATGTGAGTGATACTTTCTGGAGGGGGAAAGGAAGAATAAAATAGTACAGAATGAGTTATATATATTTTTTGTTTGCCTTTGCTGTGTCATATGCTTTCATTCTTTCTGTTTGTTGGGCTAGATTTAATCCTGGTTAATACTTCATGCCCTTCCCATTGATATCAGTAAGTAACATCAAGTAATAGGGCAAAATTGTAATTATTTTAGTGTTGTTTTCTTTTCATTTATATCTGCCTCATTGAAGATTTTAATATTACATTACGTTGCAGTAAGACCATTCATTAGCAGATTCTAAGTTGTTTAACATATAATCGTGCCTGTGTTTTGACACAGAAAGTTTAACTATTTTGTTCAGGGCAAGTCACAAATACTTGGCAGAGCCAGGATTAGACATCTAGTCTCCCTGACATTTAATCCTGTTCCTTAACCACAAGAACTTTATTCTTCTCTCTCAAGCCCTCGTTATCGAGCAGTAGTCGTATTGTGACACATGACATTCCAGTGGGAGTTATTCCCAGAAGACTGTGGAATGATTTCCGAGAGCCCCGTGTCCCAGACTTTGATGTAAGCAACTCTTTTTTTTTAAATCATCATTGAATGCACAGGATCGAGGTGAAACACAACAGGCTGTGTATATCCTGAAAATTTTTAAAAAAACAGCTTAAAAAGGTACCCCAATTATTGTCACTGTGGGTAATTCAGAAATATTATTATAGATTTTTTTCCCCTGCAGTACAGGAGACCATGTAACTTTTCACAGAGCTATCATCAGACTACTTGTATTCTTTACTCTCCACTAAGCAGCCCAGGTTTTTCACTTTGCACAACATTTTTTAATGACCTTATTCTTATATGGCACAGATCCTGTCATCAGAACACATTTGATATGTATCTTAAACTGGTTTCTGTCTGCTCAGCATGTCTGCTACACTTGATGTACAAAATAGGGATGTGAATAACTAGTCAACTATCCTAAGCAAATGCTTGTTGGAGTTGACACACGAGTCGACTAGTCGCTTCCCCCCTTGCTGCCTCTTTCTGATAGAGGCAGCAAGTTGGAGGAGGGGAGATGAGAGGGCGCTTCAAAGGACAGGACTGTGTGGAGCCCGGGGTCTGTTGCTTTGAAACTCTGCGTGCAGCCCGAGTCCCCAGCTGACCTCGGGCTCCATGCAGTGCTGCTACTTTGAAACCCTGCAGGGGGCACAGGGCCAGCGAGGGTCTGCTTGAGTCCCCTGCTGGCCCCGTGCACCCTGCAGCGCTTTCCGCTTTAAAGTGTAGCAATGGCCCTGTTACTACACTTCAAAGGTGGAGGCACCCTTATTGACTAATCAAATAGTCGATGCAAATTGCATCGACTACTCGATTAGTCAGTTAATCTAAATTTAACATCCCTAGTACAAAACCTTTCATAAACAAGAGGACAATAATGGAGTTTTGAATCCATGTAGCATGGAAATAACAGGGATTAATTGTTGTCCATTTCACTAGTGTAACTCCATAGAATAATGACTCTACTTTGATTGATAGGATCCAGAATTATTTTTCCCTTCAGCTCTAGATGTTTCTTGTTATAACAAACCCATCCCCTCCCTAGTTCAGAGGAATGCTTATCTCTGAGGAACAGAAACTCTGATAGATATTTTGAAAAATGATTTGGGCTAGACCTTCTGCTGTTGACACTTAACAGCGATTAGGAACATAAGGGGAAAAGAAAATATAACAATTGCGTCTTTTCAAGCGTTATCAATTGCTAGGAGGGCAGCATGCTGGTCTGAATGAACCAGTGAGTGATCAGGTAAGGGAAATGTTCTATTCCATGGTGGTTCACTGATTTATTTCAATTCTGTTGTACACTCCTTGCTGAATAAGCACTCAATAGTAGAGATGTTAAATTTAGTGTAATCAACTAGTCGATGGATTTTCCATCGACTAGTTGATAAGTGGTGAGCCGCAGCGGGGTTAACTCCTGGCCTGGGAACTAACCCCACTGTGGGTTTGCCTTTTAAATGTATTAAGAGCCTGTTGTGCCAGGTCCTCCCTGCTCGCGCACCAGCCTTTAAAATGTATTAAGAGCCAGGAGGCTATTAATACATTTAATAGGCTGAAGTGCAGCGGGGGGGGGGACCCAGCGCAAGCCGGGTCAGCTGATTGCCAGCTTGCACCAGGTCCACCCATTGCTTTAAATGTAAAAAGAGACAACAGGCTCTTAATACATTTAAAAAGCAGAGGTGCAGCATCCAGGACTGGGCATGAGCCAGAAATTGGTTGATTCCCAGCTCGTGCCCGATCCCTGCTACCCTCCTGCCTTTCCTACCCCCTGCAGAGACAGTGCTGGGGGAACCAGCTTTTAAGCTGGCACCCCTCCTTGCTGCCTCTAATAGAGGCAGCAAGGTCGGGAAGTGACTGGTCGAGGGACTAGCTTTAGCTTGCTTACCGGATAGTAGACTACTCACTCACATCCGTACTTGATAGAAATTGGGGTGCTGTCCAAAATAAATACAGAAGTAAAGCATGACCAATTATCCCATCTAGGCCTCTTAGTTTGTGACATTATATCACAGTGCTGTGTATTTTATTTTTAAATGCAATTGATGTGATTTTTGTAGGTCAGTATTTACTTACCAGTGCTGAAGACCATGAAGAGTGTTGTGGAAAGAATGAAAAATCTCAGCAATTGCATTGTAAGTTATAATATCTTTCCTAATACTCTGAAAAAGGAACTCGGTGATCCCTTACATAGACTATTTCCTTCTATAGTGATCGCTTGTTAGATCTTGCAAGCTAAGCATTCTTGGACCAGGTTAGTTCTTCTGTGGGTAACCTCCAAAGAACATCCATGTGTTGAAAAAAGTGATGGGATTCAATGTTACTGTTATTTTACAGGGCTAAAAAGTACATTGTGTGCTTCAAGATAGGTGGTGCTCTTATTCCTGAATCAGTACTGAACCATTGCTCCAGCGTGACGTTACTGAGAAATGTGATGCCACACATACGGTCTTTCAGCTGAGCTTCTACTTTGGTTATAAGAATTAATGCTGTTTTATTGATCAAATTACAACCTGAGCCCCTCATCTTGCAACTATTGATGCATATGCTTAAAAGTATGAATGTTTGCAGTCTCATTGATTTCAGTGGGAATATTCATGGTGCAAAGCTAAGCGTAAGTCTATATTTCTAGAATTGGGGGTCTAGGATTTACCTTTCAGCCTAAGCATTCTTAGCAGCATTTATACAAAATGGTTGGCTAGCATTGCTAAGCACTGTTAAATGGCTGTCGCATTCCATACTTGGACTAGCAGCACATGAATGTTGGATTGAATTATTCTAGTACATCCTTCACTTTCCACTCAGGAACGTTGTTTGTCTTAAATGCTGTTTGTTGTTAAACTGCTTTGAAATCCTCTGAAGGAACATACTGTAGAATTGCAAAGTAGCATTAGGAACAGTATTATTAGCAGAATTTGCATAACAGTAAACTTTTAGTTCGGGATAACAAAAAGAATGATTTAATTGCAGTGGTAGGAGCTCACCACTTCTGTCATTCAATGATACTTAGGCACAAAAATCATGTAGTCTTTCACTTTCAAAAGGGTACAGATATCTAGAATTGCCCTTTTTATAGCTCTCTTGGGCAGGGTTGTCTTTGTTTTGTTAGTAAAAGTGTGATATGCATTGTGAAAAGGCTCTGAGCAATGACATTAATTTTTCAAAACCTCTCTAAAGGGACAAACAAATTGCAGTCATCTAACACCTTTCATCCAAAAGGATGTCCCATTATATTGAAAATTCTGGCCCAGATAATACTCCCATTAGAGTAAATGGCAACACTTCCATCTATATTGTTCTTGTGTGTGCAATATAGGGATCATTTAATTTGCTGCTGACTTGCAGCCACTTCTCCCTTTCATTTTTTGAACATGGTATCTAGGAGCCAAACACAACTGTAAAGATCTCTAAAAAATATTGGAGAATGAATGAATGTCTCTGCAACTACATAATGCCACCTCCTCTCCTTCACCCCCTTTTCTTTCTCTCGACTCTCTAATCCCCATCAGATGTTAGCTATGAGAAAGATTAGTTTTTGAGTGAAACCTTATAAAAACCAAATCTAGCTGAAGTTTTCAAAAGCACTTAAGTTCCATTTTTTAATATGGGACTTAGGAACTTACATTATGCCTCAGTGAAAGTTTATGGGATTTTGGCTTCTCGGTGCCCAAGTCAGTTTTGAAAATGAGATTGAAGGTCCTATATCAAATAGGCACTTTTCAAAAAAGTTTATCCCTTGTATTTTGTCAGACTGTAGTCAAGTTTGAGTTATATCTGATTACCCCTGCTAGGAAGTTCAGTTTTACATTATTTATCCCTGTTTCATTGTCCCTTTTCGAACATAGCTGTTGCAGATGGTCAAGCACTGTGAAATAACTGCAGACTTTCAGACCTGGCATTGCAGAGTAGGGGCTTGAACTCATTTCAGAAGCAAGGAGAGAGTTGGTGGAGAGTGTAGTATCTTCAGAGTTATGTGCTTATATTGGTGTTGGTGCATTTGAGAGTAGGCTGCTGCAACCTGTATGAGATGTACATTTAAATATAATGTAATTATTTTTAGAGGGAAAATGTGGTTGACAAAATTTTTACTTATTTGTAGGTACTTGAAGCAAATCTAAATGGAGAAATGAATTTGAAAATAGAAACTGATTTAGTGTCTGTTACAACCCATTTTAAAGGTCTTGGAAATCCTCCATGGGGTATGTCTCCCTCTTTGCACTATCCAGATATCTGTTTTATCTTAGGCTACATGTAGACTGCAAGCCTCTTTCGAAAGAGGCTTTTTTGAAAGATACTTTCGAAAAAGCCTCTTTCGAAAAAGAGCGTCTAGACTGCAAGCAGTACTTTCAAAAAAGCAAGCCGCTTTTTCAAAAAAGAGCACCCAGGCAGTCTGGATGCTCTCTTTCGAAAAAGCCCTGTTTGCATTCAAGAATGCCTTTTTTCGAAAGAGCACTTTCGAAAAAATGCATTCTTCCTCGTGAAATGAGGAGTACCGCTGTCGAAAGAAAAGCCACGTTCTTTCGATTTAATTTCAAAAGAACGCGGCTGTAGTCTAGACGCAGGTGAAGTTTTTTCGAAAAAAGGCTACTTTTTTTGAAAAAACCCTGCAGTCTAGACACAGCCTTACTGTATTGGTTTTGGTTTTTTTTAAACATAACTGTAGGTCCTGGTCTTGTTAATAACTGTGGAAATTCACTCTTGAGAATGTTTTAACTAGGGATGTGTTAGGACAGTGTTTCTCAACCTTTTTTTTATAAAGTACCCCCTTAAAAAAAATTCTAAGTACCCCTAGTACCTACACTTTTCAGACACACCAAATTTTTTTCTACCATTGCAACACATTTGTTTAAACAACTTAATTGTAGCCGGGCAGGTGAGGAAATTTTTGGGTGTAAAAAGTACAAAAATAATAAAGCGCTGTAAAACAAAAATTCAGTTTTCTCCAACTTTCAGTTGTGTTGACATACCTCTCCCCCCCCCCCAGACTTCTCTCGTTGAGAAGACTTCACTGGTTGAGAGACACTGTGTTAACCTTCACAGCTACAGAGGCAGCAGTACATGGAGGGAGCGGAAGCCGTCTTCAAAGTCAGCTCCCTACTAGCGCTGACTTCCGGGAAGCCACCTTCCCCTGCCCTCCTCCTCTGCATGCTACTGCTTCTGATATAGAGGCAGCAGCGGGGTGGGGTGGAGAGGGAGGCTGCTCTCCCCCTCTTCACCATGTGTAAACATGTAATTTTCAGTGGTTACACATTTACAAACAAAATGAGTCTTAACGTTCCTAGTTTTAACAAGTAACACATAGTCAACAAATTTTAAATTCAAATAAAATAGATGTTGACTTTTCTTTACAGATTTAGTTTTTCAAGCATTTGAATTTTAATAAACTAATAAATTATATTAAGGAAGTAACCACATGATCTGATGGGAAATTTATCCAAAGATTGCAGTTATTCATTTTCTAAGAAAAAATGGATTTTTCCCCCTACATGATACAAAAAAAAGACAACCTGTGATGCACTACTTTATATATAAATAGGTTATGCTGCCTAAAGCCGATACTCATCTTGTAAGTGTACTTCTGATACAAAATCCTCTTTTATTTCATTTTAGTATCTGAGGATGGTTCACAAAGTTCTCCGCAAGACAGAGATCCAGAGAGCATGGCTGAGGCACGCATAGACATTAGGAAGCTCCTGCAGCTACTTGCTGGGCAGCAAGTAAATCCCACGAAAGCCTTGTGCAGTAAGTTCAGTGGCTCTGACTTGAAGAGAAGCTTATTCAGACTGCTGTTTTAAGCTTTTAGGTGGCCAGCCTGAGACATCTAATAGGGGCCTAATTTTCAGAGAGCGCTTAGAGTCCACATTCTTCAGTATCAGACCTTTTAAAAGTGCCTGAAATAGAGCACCCAAAATCATGAGCCATTTTTGAAAATTTAGTCACATACATTTAAATTAAACCATCAGTCACGCAAATTGTGTGCCACTGGAAAATCCAATCCTACCCAATGGGAAAATTCTCAACTCTCTAAAAAATAGGTATCTTGGCTACCCTTTCTTTTCTCCAGTGGTTTCCCAGTGCATTCAAGGCTGTTTTTTCTAAATCTGTGTAAGCGATGTTTTCTATCAGTGTACACAATCACTGCTCTTGTGTGTTTAGGCCTAAATGTGTATTATAGCTACAGACGGGTAGAAATAGGATGTAGGACTTTTTATCACGTTCAGTACCATCTCAGATCCTGGTGAGAGGAGGATCCTGGATCACCTCTTTATTATGCTGAAGCGGGCATTTCCTCTGAAGATAACAGAGCTTCTATCTCACCTATATAGAAGTTGCACTGTCATGTATTTGTGCCAGCCTTTCAACTAGCCTTATGGTGTCTCTTTTACAGATATTGTGAGCAAAAGGATTGTTCACTTTATTTTGCTTCATGAGGAGGTTTCCCTTCAATACTTCATCCCAGCACTTGCATGAATACTCTTCTACAGCTCAGCAGCTCAACCATCTGAGGATTTCTCTACAAAGAATGAAACAAGCATAAAAAGTGGGGATTTTGTAAATTGATGGGCTCTTGGTCTGTAACATTTAAATATGTTGTTACATATGTATATATATTTATAGACTTATTTTAAGAGCTTGGTTTTCAAGGAGATTATATTTTTGTGTTGATCATATATTGGATTAAAGTGAAAGTATATAGAAAGCTGGTCTTTCTAGTGTCCTGGGCAGGGAAATCGTAGAAGTTCATACGAGGTATGATTTGCTTCACTCAGTAACTGAGCAAGTAGATGAGTGAATATGCTGTAACATGAATGTCTCTTCAAAATTTCATAGCAGATATAAGCACAAGTTCAGCTCCAAGCACTTGGGGATTCTTTAGATGAGGCAGCAACATGGATGCATCACAGAGAGTTTCTTGGGGGAACAGGGCAAAGACTGAAATAAACTCCCCTGAGAATTAAGGGCCATCACATTCCTCGCCACCTTCCACTCTTTCTTTGATTTTGCCTCTTGGATCGCTCTCCCTCACTCTGGCTTGAAGGGCCACGTATGTTCCAAGCCCTCTCAGCAGTAAGTCTCTTTGCTGCATTCATCCACTTCTAATTTTCCCCAACGACTGATTTTCTGCAGGGATTCTGACTTCTACTGATGGTGGGCTCATAGTTTTGCAAATACATTTGTGACTATTCCCATTGGCTCAGAATTCAACCTTGCACTTTGCCCTGTCTCTGCCTGATACACAAGGGTGTGTCTAGACTGCATCCCTTTTCCGTGAAAGGGATGCAAATTAGACATATCGCAATTGCAAATGAAGCGGGGATTTAAATCTCCCCTGCTTCATTAGCATAAAAATGGTTGCCACTTTTTTCCTGCTCGGAGCTTTGCCGGAAAAAAAGCACCAATCTAGACGCGGATCTTTCGGAAAAAAAAGCCTCAGAGATGAGGGATCTTTCGGAAAAGGCTTTATTTTCCGAAAGATCCGCATCTAGACTGGCGCTTTTTTCCGGCAAAGCTCCGAGCCGGAAAAAAGCAGCAGCCATTTTTATGCTAATGAAGCGGGGGAGATTTAAATCCCCACTTCATTTGCAATTGCGATATGTCTAATTTGCATCCCTTTTACGGACAAGGGATGCACTCTAGACACAGCCAAGCAGATGAAGGCTTTTTGAAAGCTAGTCGTGGGAAGCCCAATGGGTACTTCCCAAGTGCCCCCTCACAGTTTCAAAGAACGTCTACCTGTCAACCCTCTGTGTTCTAGACAGGTGTGGTACTTTTTTGGAGTTATTCACCTATCCCAGGGTCTGCAGTGATTATCTTCCACTGCCAGCATCTGTGTCCCTCTAAGTTTAAGTAATAACCACCCAAGAGAGATTCAAGTGTCACACAAGCCCCTCCCCTGGTTGCTTTGCAACCATGTTGCTCCTGGGATTCTCCAGCTGGCTGTGCAGGGCAGGAAGTAGGGGGATGCTGATTTCTCCTGCCCCTATACCTCATCTCTGAAGAACAGGGAAGAGATGGTACAGCCTGGCTCAGGACTCAGAGCTGCTGTAGTCTGAGGTCTTAACTATTTCATTCTGCAGGTGGTGAGTGAGTGAGTGCCTTTCTTAAAGAGATAACACATGATCTCTGAGATTTCCCAGCAGCCAGTCACACTGTCTCTCTCACATACACATACTTACCAGTCTCTCTCTCTTCCCTCCCCATCTTCCCATTTCCACAGAGCTGAGGAGGGGAGACAGGGCTCAGAACAGAGGAAGAGAGAGTTCAGTGAGTGTCTTAAAGAGAGCACATGACATCTCTCAGAAACTTCCTCAGTAATCAGCACACGCACAGTCTTTCACACTCATGTCCCAACACCTACATTTTTGTTGTTACTGCTCAGTACTTCTTGTAATGCACATATATTCTCTAATTTTATTCTTTCCAAGTATGTTATTTTAATGTTTTGAATGATCTATGCATTTCATAATTTTTATTTTTCTTACACTTAACTCACTACTCAAATAATTAAATGTATAAAATGTATAACCTGGAGTAATTAAAAATACAGTATATCTATTTTTTTGTTTCTGTTGGTGGTGCACATACACACTCATCTTGGTGCATATAACAACATTTATTCTGTACATAAATGTAAAAACTTAGAAGGAACATTGATTGCCACCAATTCTGCTTCCCAGAGGGAGCTCTGTAACCCTCTTCAAAGGAGCTAGCATACTAGCTCCCAAAAATATAAATAGCATGTATAAAGTTGACATAATATCTTTTGAGATTATTGGATGTGTTTTTAATATTTGTCATGCCCCTTTTATGCATGTCAAGTTGAAGCAATCAGGAACATTCGGCATACAGTTTCATTTGCATAGGCTTATCACATACAAGGCAGTGTGACTGCCTAGCAATAACCAGTTCCTTCATTAAGCACCTAACTTTAGAAATTCCACCCATTTCTTGGACATTCAGACTCATAGCAGTCTTCCACTTATCCTCCTTCATGGCTTTGTGGATGCCAACATACTCTATATTGCTGCTCCTTAGCCCACGTGGTACCCAACAGCTCGTCTGTAGACCTTGAGTCAATAGGCACACTGTCGCCCATCCATCTGAAGAGAATGCTTCTCAGTTCAGCCTGTGTTCTAAGAGAGATTGTGGCTCCTTTGCAGAGCCTTTCTCTTCTGTTCCTTGCTTCACTCTCACCGAGGGGGGCTTTTTTTTTACCAGTTTCCTCTGATTCTGAGCAGATGTGGTGAACGTTTGCTTAAGAGTACAGCCTTGCAAATGGAAGGAAGAGATTAGTGATTTAAGTCCTGAACAGAGAGCAAATCAGGGAAAAGCTAATGTAATAGCAAATCTTGAATCCATCCTTGTTTTCTTTATGGCTCCTGAAGGAGACCTGCTTGCCTGATCTGCCCATAAGACTAACTTGAAATACACTGTTTTCCTTTTCAGTTTTTCCCCTCTTTTTCCCAGCTTTGCTCTCACCCTGGATTTGACTGTAGGTGCCCAGAACTGCAGGTGTTCATAGCTTTTCAGTTTAAGAAAGAGCTTTGAAAGCAGAAGGGGGGGGAGATAAAAAATATGCCAAAAGCAGCCTTATTAAATATGAAAGATTCCTGCTTGCCTTACGGTTGCTGTTTCTTAGTTTCCTAGCTCAGGGCACAATTTAACACCTCACAGCCAGATATGTCAGACAGATAAGATTTCTCTGGGAATCCGCTCTTTTGCACTAGGTTGATTTTTAGATGCCAAGGCATAAAATAGCGCCCCATGAGTATGCAGCTTTCTCCTAGCAAAAGCAACCTGTGGTGAAATCAGGGAGGAACACTAGTGACCTAGGTGAAGTTAGTTCAAAAAGTTAACTTTGGATTTAAATCATCCTTCAATCTTGGTGAGATCAAAGGGGACCTCTAACAATAAATCTTCCAGTGAAGCTCCCAGGCCTAAGAGCAGGGATGTTCTATTTCTATCCCTGCTAGAGGACCCCTTTCATATGTTCCATGTACCCATTGTAATCATGCATTTGACTAATTCCTGTGCAGAGGTCCCAGGGCATCCGGTTCACTAGACATTGAGCGATACTACTACATGGGAATGCTGAGAACAGTGTCATCTAGTGGCTTTCGCTTGGATCTCTTGATGTCCCATTGGCCTGCCGGACATGACTTTTGCTTCTATAGATGTGACATGTCTACTGCTTTCCCCCATCCCTCCTTTGCCCACCCGCATGAGCTATGGGATAGTTTTTTTCCAGGATAGGGTAGCTGCTCTGTGGAGCAAAAGTTCTTCCTTGCTGCTTGTCTTCCTTTCCAATGGTGGGGAATGGGGACTTGCAGCTGCTGGGGGGGGGGGAGGGGAAGAAGGGATGGTGTCTCTGGGTGATAAATGTCAGCAAAATGTCTCAAGGCCTGCAATTCAATAACCCTGATGGGTCACGTGGGCTGTAAATTGCCCACCACAGCTCCAGAGCTCAAGTGCCCTCTGGAGCCTAATTAGGCAGTAACTGACCAGACACAGATGCATTGGCCTCTTCCCTCTTCAAAGGCCAGTGTCACCCTGTGCCAGCAGGTTAATAAAAAAGCATAAAAACGTGTAGTTACTTAGGAACAGAATTTTTTCCTAATTATTATCTTGTAGACTTACTAAGGATTGAGTCTATGGGGATTAAGTTTAGCTGTAATACCTGCAATAAAATACTTATGTAAGACAGCCTGTTATAAATTAACCACTACAACACCTCATTTTCCTCATGTTTGGCCTTTCTAACTCATTTTTCTATCCCACACAGGCCAGAGAAGCCACAATTTGAAGTTAAAAGGCTTTTGTGTGGATCAGAATTAAGGAACAACTGTAATACTGATATATCCTCGTCTACAGTTGCTCATTTTTTCTTGATTGTTTCTGTGGGGGAGAGTAGGTCATTCTGATTCTAATACAAAAAACTATATTGCATCTATAAGTTCTTTGGACATGTTTACACAACCATATACTGATTAATCTAGTTCTAATCACATTCACAGTTTGCCATCTAGTGGTAATTTTGTTGTACTACTTCATTATTCCCACCCACACACTTAAGCACACACAAAATACAGGACTATGTAGCACTTTAAAGACTAACAAGATGGTTTATTAGATGATGAGCTTTCGTGGGCCAGACCCACTACACCAGACTAACACGGCTACATTTCTATCACTATTGCACACACAAAAGTTATTTTATTTCAGTCTACAGATCAGCGTATTGCTACTTGCCTTTCTTTGTATAACATACTGCATTAAATTTCATTGTTCTGCAAATCAATAACATTTCAAGGTTACTAGTAATACTCTGTTTATTATTTCGCAATACTTTCGAGCTAGTGGACTTCTTACTCCGACTCCTGTAACCCTCATTTCACAAGGAGTAAGGAAGATCAGAAGAAGTGTGTTCTTCCTTCGGCTTCCTGTTGTGTAGACAGCACCAAAGCTGAATTAATCTATTTCTACTTCAGCTTCGCAATTGACGTAGCTCAAGTTGTATAACTTAATTTGATTTTAGCCCTGCTGTGTAGACGTACCCTTAGAGACTAACAAATGTATTAGATCATGAGTTTTCATGGGTAAAACCCACTTCATCAGATGAGTTAAATAAATTGTAAGTCTGAATTTTGTTCTTAAGCACATTGACTCAAGATCAGATTTTAAAAACAAAACAAAAAAATACCAGAGAGCAGTGCCAACTGCTAAAAGCCTTCCAACACAACAGTATCTCATAGGAGTATTGTTGCATGAGAGATATCCATGTTCAGATATAAAAATGGAACATAAAGTACATCACTGGGTTTTTTTCATGGAAAAACCTGCATGTGGGAGTATAAAATCTAATATTACATTCAGGAGATTTTGCTGATCTAGACAATGGAATGAATAATAAGAAAATCATTAATAAAATGGCGTTTAAAAAAATCAAGAGTATACAGGAGCATTAAATGCATAAGCCTTGTTTTGTGTGAAAGGACTTACCTTAATATAATATAATAAATATAATATATACACTATATATGATTGAGCTGCTTAACAAGCTCAGTGATTACATGAAATATTGGGGGTACATGATACAGGAAGTCACATAAGAACACGTTATTTAACAAATCAATGGGTGCTGAGCAAACACGGCAGGGGAAATCAGTAGCAGCAAGACCAGCAATATTGCCCTCCCCGATAGGTTTTTCTTGTTGATACATACTATCTTTTAGTAAGATACCAGCCAGATAAATTTGCTTTTAAAATAGTCTCCCCTCAAATTTACTCTTTGGGCAGACTCAGATTAAG